CACCTGAGCAGGACTGCTGGGTGGGGGAGATGCAAGGCTGTACAAGGCAAAAGGAAGCACTCAGACTTTCCTCATCTGAAGCTGAACCCGCCTTCCTTGTGTTGGAAAGCAAAGAGATAAATAATTTACTAACCCTACACCCCACCCCACCCCCAGCTTTTTTTGTTTTACAAAACTTTAAAAAAGACCGTGGAAAAACAAAGACAGGAAGTTCTGAGATCCTCTCTAACATTGCCCTGCTGTGAGAAGGGCAAATGTGCTGTTTCCTGTGGTAACACTCCACCTGCTGGGGACTGAGGACTATGCCACCAAAACTCACAAAGGCATGAAACACATCATCATCCACCCTTTCCAATGTTAATTTAAGCACTTTTTGTAACGTAGGATCAAAGACAAAACTTAGGCAAAGCACCACAATTGTGGCCACTGACTTCATATTAACTGAATTTTTCTTGCCTTACTGAAAAATGGGATAGTTCTAGCAAAAAAAAAAAAAAAAAAAAGACTAATAATGGAAAACCATCTTTTTATGCTAAAACCTTAAGCCTGGAATTCCTAAACTGAATGCAAAAAAATGGAAATGCTTCTAAGATGGGTGTTCCATTGCTACGTAAATAAGACCCCACTAGACTAGTTCCAGGTATAAGTGGAAGTTCCTAAAATGATACTTCTGGCACCCATGCTGCACTGGGTCTCTGGCTGGGCTGCAGCCCCATTCCTTCGGGATATTGCTTGGGTTCTCTTCTCTTCATCTCTCTGGGTCTTAGTCACCTGATACACAAGACGTAGCTAAGGCCAGCCGTCCTGCAAAGTGGGCCTCAAGGAATCACAAACTTGATCACAAAATACTTCATAGATAGACTTTCATCTTTTAAATTAAAAAATAATGTAGACTTTTAAAGCCCATGTTTGCCAAATGCACAAATTCTCACCATCTCTGTCCCTAGCCTACTGCTCAAAACTTGAGTTGGCCAAGTTGTTCTTTAAAAAATGTTAATCTAGGGGCGCCTGGGTGGCTCAGTCGGTTGAGCGTCCGACTTCGGCTCAGGTCATGATCTTGCAGCCTGTGAGTTCGAGCCCTGTGTTGGGCTGTGTGCTGACAGCTCAGAGCCTGGAGCCTGCTTCGGATTCTGTGTCTCCCTCTCTCTGCCCCTGCCCAGCTCATGCTGTCTCTGCCTTTCTCTTAAAAATAAACATTAAAAATGTTAATATTAAAAAAATGTTAATCTACATGATTTACCTTTGTTACTCTGTCCATTCTCCTTCTGGGATGAGAAAGAAGTTGAGGAAAACAAGCAATGAAGATAAAGTACTCACGGTATTTCACGTTGCGTGGCCAAGCTGAGAAAGCCTTAGCAAGGTGAAAAGCAATTCTCAGGAGAGTAAAGGCCGTTTCCTAATGTTGCTATATATATAGCTGAGACAGGTACTAACTTCTCAGTACTTGGAGGCTCACTCTCAAGTGAATCACCTTTTTCCAGCTCAATTACTGCTGCATGCATGCAAGTCTTACCCTATTCGGTAGCCCCCTAAGTGGCCTCCTGACCCCCTTCAAAAGACGTTCCCCACTGCTACTGAACATTCTACTAAAAAGGAAACTGAACTCGTACCCTTCAACTCTGCCCCTTCATTCTAAAGCTTTACCCTAAGGACACTGAGACTGGGAAGACAGCCACAGAGCATAGTAGCTGAGATCACAGATTCTGAAGCCAGACTGCCTGAGTTCAAATCTCAGCTCACACACACCCGGCCACATGACTGAGGGCAAAGTATTTGTTTGGTTTGGGTTTTCTTAATTTTTTTGGTAACAGCTTCACTGAGACATAATCCATGTATAACTCACTCAGTTCAAGTATATATTTCAATGGTTTTCAGTCTATTCATAGAGTTGTGCGACCATCACCGCAATCAATTCTAGAAAATTCTCATCACCCCCCAAAAGAAACCCTGTACCCATGAGGAGTCATCCCCAGTTTACCTACCCTCCCTGGCCCCAGGCAACCGCTCATCTGCTGTCTCTATTGCTTTGCCCTTTCTGGATAGATTCATACAGATAGAATCATATAACATGCAACCTGTCATGTGTGGCTTCGCTCATTCAGCAGAATGTTTTCGAGGTCTGTCCACGTTGCAGCGCGTCAGTACTTCATTCTGTTACAAGCCTGAATACTATCCATTCATCTTATTTATCCATTCCTCCCTTGACGGACACTTGGGTTGTCTTCACTTCTTGGCTGTTCTGAGTAACGCTGCTGTGAACATTAGTATACAAGGTGCCGTGTAGACATGTTTTCAGCTCCCTGGGGTACACAGCTAGGAGTGGAACTGCTGGGTCATATAGTAACTCTGTGTTTAAACTTTTGAGGAAACAACCTGTTTTCGAAGGATATTTAATGAAATGCGGAAATGCTCTCTTCGTTTGATAAAAATATTTAAGAATACACACGTGACAGGTATGTATGCTTAAACATTACGTACTTCTGGGTACATGTATGTATACAAATGCATTTCTGTGCTTTCCAAATTTTCTATAAAAATTATGGTCAATTTTATAATCAGGAATACAAGGATTGATTTTTTTTTTTTTTTTTTTTTTTTTTAATGTGAGTATGAGCATGGTATCCTCCTGCTTAAAATGCTTCAAAGGCTCCTCATTACTTACAAGACCTCACGCAAATCTCTGTGCCGGCCCTGCCTAGTGTCTTTCTCTCTCCCGTTCCAGCAATACTGAATTCTGTGTCGTTTCCTAAATATACTCTCAGTCCTTTTGCATGTGCTGTTCCCTCTACCTGGAATTCCCTTTATGTGCCTTGACACACTCTCCCATTAATGCTTCACACAACTCATAAATATGAAAGCAACAGTATCAATTATCCCTATTCATGAGGCAACCTAAGCCAGTGCGCTACTCCAGGGCCCTGGGTGGGGGGTGGGGGGGGGGGTCTCCATCTGCTTCAAAAGGATACGTATAATGTTAAAAGCTTTGGCGTGTTACTGGCTTTAAAAATTAAAGCCAGAAACTTTTCCAACTTCAACTTTAATTCTGGAGTCCAAGAATCCTGAAGAAAAAAAAACACACACAAAGAAAAATAATAGAGTACTACATCATTAAATGCCAACAGCGTTGTCAAATTGTGTGTGGCCTTTGGTTTAAATAACCCTATCCAACACAGTTACTGAAATCAAAAGCAGATGCCTTGGCTGTTGTGTGATGCTGCGAAAAATAGGTTTTAGGACATCTGACCAATTCTTTATAAAAGATTCAAATACCCACAGCAGGAAGAAAGAACAGAGTTCTTTCATAAACAAGGAAAAAAGAACCCTGTACATGATTTGAATATTTCATGTGATTTAAACACAGGCATGACAAATAACCTTATTAGGTTGAATGCCAAGAAGAATTCAGTATAGTTTAAGTGTATAAGGCGCTGGCAGGCACACCCAGTTATCACTAAGTTACTAAAAGTTTCCCAAAGAAAAAGACTCATTTCCATAAATTTCATCTAGATAAGAAAAGGACAGAAGCTGTTATCTGCCTTAAATACCGCATCACGTCAAGAATTATGATATACTTTTAGTTTGACTTGTCCCTTAATTATTTATCTCAAATAATGCTCACTGAAAAGGAAAGGACTTAAGTAGTAAAAGTGTGACAAGCAATTATCTTTCTCAGGACAATTTTCCTTACAACCTTTATGCAAGAATACCTACCACCCAAACCAAGAAGCTCCACAAAAAAGAAGCAATATCTTTAAAACTTCGTATCTACTTACCTCTTAGGTCCTGCCCCACCCCCAGCTCATCGTCCTGGTCCACACCTCCCACCCCACCCATTCTACCCAGGGCATCATCTGGCTTTTTGAAAAAATACTGTCTTATATTTTAAAAAGATTGTGTAGGGGCACCTGGGTGGCTCAGTAGGTTGAGCATCCGACTTCGGCTCAGGTCATAATCATAGTTCTTGAGTTCAAGCCCCGAATCAGGCTTTGTGCTGACAGCACGGAGCGTGGAGCCCACTTCGAGTTCTGTGTCTCCCTCTCTCTCTGTCCCTCCCCTGTTACGCTCTGTCTCTCTCTCTCTCTCTCTCTCTCAAAAACAAATAAACATTAAAAATAAATAAATAAAAATTAAAAATTAAGATTGTGTAAATCCCTGACATGGCACGATCTCTTTATCTATAATGTGTGTTATGGGTTGAATTGCATCCCCTTAAAAAGATACGCTGAAGTCCCAACCTCCTCAGAATGTGAGGGCACTGACAGGGCTGCTGTAGATGTAATTAGCTAAGATGAGTTGTACTGGACTAGGGTGGTCCTTCATCCAACATAACCAGTGTCCTTACAAGAAGGAAATTTAGACACAGACACAGAGAGAAGATGGGCCTGCAAAGACTGGGGACTGGAGTATGCTGCCATGAGCCAAGGGACACCTGAAACTACTAGAAGCTACTAGAAGCCAGAAGAGGCAAGGAAGGCGCCTCCCCCCTACAGGCTTCGCAGGGAGCGCGACCCTGCCAACACCTTGATTTCAGACCTCTGGCCTCCTGACCTGTGACAGGAAGTTTCTGCCATTGAAGCCCCCACTCTGTGGCCCTTTGTCACGGCAGCCGCGGGAAGCTGACAGAGCGTGCCGCAGCTCGAGGCTTCTGTGTTCAATGCACAGGAGAGAATCGCGGGAAAGGACTGCTATGTTGGTCAACATAAATCAAGACATCTTAAAAAACAAAACAAAACAAAACCTTTGGGACATGTAGACTTGCAGCTAAATTGCTCTGTTGCTGACTACTATTTTGCATAACCAACAAATCTGTATTTCCAACTTAACTACTGACCTTATGATGCTCTGCTAATGACAGGGATAAATAACACTGCGATAGAACCTCTTTGGGCAATAAATCCCTTATTTTTTTCTTCTTGACTGCTCTTACTCTTCTGTTTGAGAACAAGGACGTTTCCCAAGTCCAATGGGCACCTGCCTCCCCAGCTCCCATGGGACGAGGGAAGCACGGGGCTGGTTCTGCTGTACCGCCTGCACAAAGCCACTCACCCTCTTCGTGTCATAGTTTCTTCACTTGTAGAATGCGGACTTTACACTAGAGTGATTGTCTGACTTGTTTTTTCCCAACAGCAAAGCCATCTGATCACTCAAAATCTTGCCCAGAACCCTAATATATGAAATGAGTAAGAGTGGGCTATTCCTGGGGGGCAGGGGGCAGAGCTCAATGCTGGACTCTCCCCGCTTACCCGCTTACCCGCTGCCTTCTCCCACCTCGCAGGGCATACAAGAATTCCTTCCATTTCTTTCGGTCTTCACTAATTAAGCTTAACTTGGCTCTTGCTATATAAGCACCCAAAAGTTTTTCTGGAAGTAATCATTAGAGGAATACCCAAGTATTTCTGCATGGAGATGCTCACTGACAAACTGAGTTTGCTGAAAAGAGCTCACTACAATCGCTACAAAGGAATTTCCTTTTCTGGCAGCTCAGCAGAAATGATAACCTGAAAAAGCAATGAAAACAACTAAAAAAGTTGGATAAATAAACCATCTTATAAAATGCATCCCTAAGTGGCATGAAAGGAAAGGCAGAGGCTAAAAATGCGTTTTCACTCTAAGGATAACCCAGAGTCTTGAAGACCTTAAACTTCAGTTCTAAGAGCTGTCACAAGACGGAAGACAATAGGATCCAGATGCTCATAGTAAACAATCTAAAAGACCCTTGCATAAAATTGGGATCCCAGGGCACCTGGATGGCTCAGCTGGCTAAGCGTCCAACTTCAGTGCTATTCATGATCTTACAGTTTGTGAGTTCAAGCCCCGCGTTGGGCTCTGTGCTGAGAGCTCAGAGCCTGGAGCCTGCTTCGGATTCTGTGTGTGTGTCTCTCTTTCTCTGCTCCTCCCCCACTTGTGCTCTGTCTCTGTCTCTCAAAAATAAATAAATGTTAAAAAAATTTTTTAAATTGGGATCCCAAAGGGCTATGCCATCAGGAAAAATTCAAGGATGAATCAATCCACTGCCTAGAAGGGGACAGCAAGGAAGTCTACCTGTCTTGACCTTGACATTAGGTAGAAGGGAGGAAAAACTTCATGTGAAAGTTCATAACCCAAACCAGTCCCATTAAAAATTGCAGCCTAAACTGACATTGTCTGTGTGGTTCCCAAAGCCTTGAACAAAGAATTTGATTTAAAATGATTCTGGGGGCGCCTGGGTGGCGCAGTCGGTTAAGCGTCCGACTTCAGCCAGGTCACGATCTCGCGGTCCGTGAGTTCGAGCCCCGCGTCAGGCTCTGGGCTGATGGCTCAGAGCCTGGAGCCTGTTTCCGATTCTGTGTCTCCCTCTCTCTCTGCCCCTCCCCCGTTCATGCTCTGTCTCTCTCTGTCCCAAAAATAAATAAACGTTGAAAAAAAAAATTTAAAAAAATAAAATGATTCTGGGTTGGGAATGCCCTAGATGATGGAGATGCAAACACAGGTCTTCTCTGAAAGAATCAAACTGCACTCAGGCCTCAAAAAAAATCCCTACAAGTCCCACATAAAATAAACTCATTATCAAAACTCAAAATAACTGATTTTTTTTTTTTTTTAAACAAGGATGGGCACCTGGGTGGTTTGGTCGGTTAAGCACCCGACTCTTGATTTTGGCTTGGGTCATGATCTCGTGGTTCCTGAGATCAAGTCCTACATTGGGCTCCATGCTGACAGTGCAGGGCCTGCTTGGGATTCTCTCTCTCTCTCTGCCCCTCCCCTGCTCGTACTCTCTTTCTCTCTGAGAATAAATAAACCTAAAAAAAAAATTTTTTTTTAAAAGAAATAAGACCCATGAATGAGAACCAGAAGACACAAAACACAGCAGGATCAAATCTACAAAGGCTCCTGATATTAAAATTAACAGATAAAGAATATAAAACAAATGTTTAATATGGTAAAGAAATGAGAGAGACTTGAAAATATGAGCAAAGAATAAAAGACTCTAAAAATAATTGAAATTACAAATTCAATGAAGAGATTAAAGAACAGATTGGACACAGTTTGATGGGTAAATCTGGGAACGAGAAAATAGGTGTGAATAAATCACCCAGAATACAGCCCAGACAGAGATCACAAGATGGGACATATGAGATGTTAAGGGACAAGGAGGGCACAACATTGTGAACGTACTTGACACTTACTCAACTGTACACTTCACGATGGCAGAGATGACAAATTTTATGTGTATTCTGTCACAATTTTTTTAATGAAGAAAAAATAGACACAGAAGACAGAATGAGCAAGTCTAATGCAGATTTCATCAGATCTGTAGATTAAATGTAGATTAATCAGATACCCAGAAGAAGATCATAAAGAGAACGGGGAAGAGGCAATGTATGAAGAGAAAACGATTTTCCAGAGTTGTTGAAAGACACAAAACATCACATCCAGGAAGCCCAACAAAGCCCAAGTAAAAATAGAAATCTATCCCCAGACACATCGTAGTGAAATTACACAATCTTAACGGCCAGAGAAGCGAGACAGAGCGCCCACACAGGAGCAGCAAGTAGACTGATGGCCAACTTCCAACAGCAGCAATGGGGCGAGGAGAGGGGACAATCATACCTTCACTGTAATAAAGGAAACCAGTTGTAAACCTACCAGTCTGCACCCCATCTGAGAAAGCGACCAAGACATTTCAGACAAACGAGAACTGAAAGGGATCTTCAAGTACAGTTGATTCTAAAGGAATGTACATAAGGCAGATGAGAAAATGATTTCTGATGGAAGGTCCTTCATGCAAGACGGAACAAATGCTGGCAAATATAAGGGCAAATCTATACGCACACAGATGGAATAAAATAGTAATACCTGTAACGTGTGGGGTTAAAATATATAACTCAAATACTGGACAACAAGAGCAAGTAAACTGGGAAAGGGGTGAATGAGGCTAATGCATCCCAAGGTCCTTGCACGAAGAGGACGCAGATATTAGCTTTAGATTTTATTACAGAAACATACTAAAGCATGTAGGATGGCCATTGAAAGAACATGTAGAGAGTAACAAAAGTAAAAACAATGGAATAAAATGACTCCCCGTGAATACTGAACTCTGCCTCAGAATGCCATGCGAGAGCAGGCCAGGTGCCCACGGCAGCCTCAGCTGGACCCGTCCCTGACTGCCAGCTGCACCCCTGCCTGGACCTAAGCTGGGGCCACATTACCGCACCATCATTTTCATAAACCGAAGTCTTCACTCTGAGAAAATCTAACATTTCTTTTCAAGTTCCATCACCTTCCTAACCATTTTATATCTTCAACCTCCTGGGAGAGGAAGGGGGTAAAACTAAATTTGGACAGACAAAGAAACACAAACACAGAATTCAACTTCGGCTACTCTACAACGAGCCAGCTTTGATGGAATCAGTCAGCTACCTGGCCTTCTAAATTTAGCAGCTACTTTTTAGGAGTGATGGAAGTCGTGCGACTAAATTATAACAGGATAGGAAACGGAGATATGCTGGCTTTGGAAAGAGAAGTGTATCTGTTGTTCAGTGGCATAGAGGACTCTCCAAAGAGATTCTGTGAGATCTTTCTTTAGGAAAAGCAAACTGCATCACTATTGTTTCTGTCTCTTAAACACACTTTAATAAGTCTCTCAGGGGACATCTTAATTTTATTAGGTCAATAAAAATTACTACAATGGATAAACAAACACTGATAGTAAGTAGTATGCTGAAATGTCAACTAATGTGAAATATAACAACTAAAACAGCTACAGGCAAGTAGTCTGAAGGAAATAATAGTAACAGCCAGGTAATCGGACATACGCCAAGCAAGTGAGACTCTGAATACAAATTAAAACATACATGGCCGGCAGTTATGTAAAATAACCTAGTTCTTTTCACGCTACTATTTTTCAATGTAATTGGAAGACTTGTCCTTTCAATACCAAAAAAAGGATGCACAGAATGATTTAGGAAGTGCGTACACTTAAGAATATTTATGTCAGGCTGGGTTAACAAGTCTCAGTACAACCAAAAATCATACTCTATGGCATAAGGGAAGTTTGTCAAAGAAATGATCTGAAAACAAGCAAGTTTTAGAGTGTTTTTACAGCATCATTCAGAAACCACTAGCGTATACAAGATGAAACCACAATGTGGCCTGGGATCTGATTCAAGATTCAGAGGCTGTCACTCACCTGGAAGAGCTCTTTAAACGAGGGGTGTACCATGGGGTTGGGAACAAAAGGCAGAGCGTAGAAAGGGAGAAACTCTGTGGTCTGGCTCAACGCCGCCCCTTTGGTCTCCAGGTAGGTTTTGAAATAAGAAATCCTCTCATCCAGGTCCTCTTTGTCCTGCAAAGAAGGGAAGATGCTCGCCCGGGGTCTCCTGCTGGACATCCAGCCCCCTGTCCATCCCACCCTTTCTCCGAGGCTCCTTCAGTTCCAGCCACGTTGGTGGCATCCTCCCCACGAGGCCCAGGAAGCAGGCTCTCTCCAGCCATTCTAACACCACCCCCAATTTCACTCCTTGATCAAACTTTGTCAGGGATTAAAGAGAACTAGGTATCTAGTTCAATATACGGCCCTTTTACTTTATTATTGCTATTTTCTCATGTCCTTAAAATTCTAGACATCATTTCTACTGGCAGGACAAAACCTCACTTTATGGGTCTATTACAACTTCCTTAACCAAGTCCCCCATTATTAGGTATCTGCACTGTTTTCCCTCGTCAGATTATCATAAACATTTGTCTGCATCCCCAGGACTCCCTCAGGTGAGACGTCTAAAGGTGAACAGGTGGACCTTTACAGTTTTTTGAAACAGAAGCTTCCACAGCATTCCTCCTTTCCTTTTGAAGCTAAGGACTGATCCTGCGGGCTTCGCCGGTTCTGTGAGATCCAAGGCAACTCAAGTCCCCCTCAGGCTTCGATTTCCTCCTGCGCCTCTTTGAGCCGCTCAGCCTGGAACTGGGTGCTCTCCTTCCCTGACCACCTGGCCGCCCCAGTTACGTGTGCCCTGTGTGTGTCTGTTTCCAATCAATGCATCTCATTTTGTCTACACTGTGAATCGCTTCTCGGCCTTTTGGCTAAGATCAAGTGTAGCAGCTCCACTGTGAAGCCCTCTTCTGGCCACCGGGCTTAAAAGAAGATGCAACATTGATTGATTTTCTTTATAGAACAGGAATAAGTATAAAGAAAGTGAAAATCTCCCATGATCTCACCCCCCGTGAGCACTGTCCTGATGTACTCTAAAGCTACCACGATGTACTGTGGAGCCGCTCCCTCCACCACTCACCCCTCCTCTGGCCCCCCTGATATTTTAATGAGTGAACACAGGTGCTGGGGCAGTAGCTAATACAAGGAGAAGCCACTAAAGAAATGCACGCGGTCAAATGTCAGCATGGCCCTGCTCCCTTATGTCACGCATTCTACACTCGGAGACACTCAGGCCCTGCCCTCCGCACACCTGCGCACGGCCTGCGGTGGCCATTCAGCCAGTGCTCAAATGGACCTTCGTCAACTGGCGTCTTTCCGCGGCTTAAACTTAAACTTCTCTTATGACAGTCTAATATGTGGTCTCAGTAGCTGTTTTCTTAGACATACATGTATATATTTCAAATTGCCAAATAAGGAAACTTTATTTTGCTGAGTTTTCAAAAATTTGAGGCATTGGGGAAAACCATGCAGCTTGTAAGACAGAAATTATTAACTCTCCATGTAAACTAGAAAATAAACTGCTGGGAATCAGATAGAAAATCATTCACAGGGGTGCCTGGGTGGCTCAGCCGGTTAATGGTCAGACTTTGGCTCAGGTCATGATCTCACAGTTTGTGAGTTCGAGCCCCGCATCGGGCTCTGTGCTGACAGCTCAGAGCCTAGAACCTGCTTCGGATTCGGTGTCTCCCTCTCTCTTTGTCCCTCTCCTGCTCATACTCTGTCTCTCTCTCTCCTTCTCAAAAATAAATAAACGTTAAAAAAAAAAAAAGAAAGAAAGAAAATCATTCACAGGACACAAGACACCTACTCCTTGGAAGCAATACGATAAAACGGCTACAAAAACTAAATTAATGCTCAACTGCAAAACAAACAGCGCACATCCTCCTTGAACACAGCACTCAGACCCACACAAGTCACAAGAGGAACCTACAGGTCTCCCCACGGAGTGCTTCAGAAGATAGATGGCAAAATGGATGTGAAGATAGAATTCCAACTTCTGGGCAAGGGGGTCACCATCACGGATGGAATTGGGAACGTGCTCCTCCCACAGATCGAAGAACACCTTCTGGTCTCCGCTGTCAAATGCAGCAATGAGGTCCTTCTGTGGAGAAGACAGGAGACCGAACCCCAGTCACAAGGGATGGCCATTCTCCCAACACCCCAGATTATCCCAACACACCCAATACCCCGGATACTCCACATGCTCCGGGGTTTCAACGTGATAAAACTCAGTCTCCTTTCCAAGATAAAGGACAGAAAGATAGAGAGCTAGAAGGTTTCAAGCATCTGAGGCTGAGATTTCTGCAAACCAACCCTGGTTGCGATATCAAGTCTGGGCTTTGAAAGGATCAGTTGGAACAGTGAAGTCCCTGAAGGGGGAGGAACCACTCCCAGGCCAAGGACTTGAGGCCAGAAAACTCACAGGCACACACATACCCTGTGGACTCGCTGACCCGCAGCGCGCAATCGATAAAAACCAGGCCAGACCCAGAGCCCAGTCAGGCCTCAGCGGGGCTCACCCCGCCCACAAAGCAGCTTGCCAACAGCACAGCTGTGAACCGGAGCTCATCTACGCTGACCCGTTCAATCCCAGGCCTGGGATGCTAACACATGTCCCACTGAGATGGCACTCGGGAAGTGACGACAGATCCCAACACATCCATACAGTGTCCACCGATTACAGAAGCAGGGAAGCACAGGCTACAGCTAGAGGAGGGGGCACAGGCCTGGTACCATTCCGACCTCGGGGCTGTGCGAGTCTGACTATGCAGGGCAGACGGTTTCTGGACTTACTGTGCAATAGCTGAGATAGAGAATTCTGGAGAAAGGAGGTGGCGATTATCACGCCACCTGCCTCACAAGAAGAATGTTAAGTGTCCCATCACAAATACCTGCTGCATAATTTTGTGGATTTAAGTATAAGGCAGAATGGAAAGAACTTCCTAACAGTCCAAAGCAATGTGATTCATATTATTTTCCTTATGATATCAAATGCCCAAGATACTCAGACCTACATTTTGTGCTCATTTACAAAAGTTTTTCTTGGATTGGATTTTCTGTGGAACCTCCAGGTCCCCCCACCCAACACCATTATTCATCACTATTATTTGGTCATTGTATTTTTACACTTTGTTTTTTCTTTCACACTTTTGAAAAATGGCTTTATAGTATTCCTCTATAACTGCCTCTTTGGTTAAGGTTGTTTATAAATGAGCTTGTTAATATCATAAAATGGAAATAGACTGAACAATGTTGCAGTGTCTGGTTATACTTGAAGATATTCATTAGTAAAGAATCTTCAACTACAATTAGTATAGAAATGTTCTTTTTGTCATGTGATCAAGAACATCTGAATATTGGGGCGCCTGGGTGGCTCAGTCGGTTTAGCGTCTGACTCTTGATTTTGGCTGAGATCATGATCTCACGGTTCGTGGGTTTCAGCCCCGCCTAGTAGCTCTGCGCTGACAGAGGGAAGCCTGCTTGGGATTCTGTGTCTCCCTCTCGCTCTCTGCCCCTCCCTTGCTCGCTCTCTCTCTCTCTCTCTCAAAAATAAACTTAAAAAAAAAAAATCAGAGAAATGCTGTTTAAAAAAAAAAAGAACATCTGAGTATTACCTTACTCTGGAAGGTCTTGGCATATATCTGAATGAAACTCAGAATTTTTCAAAGTAAGTCCTATAAGAAGTGTCTGCCTCCTCGGAACCATCCTCTTGCTGTTACTCAGCCTTGGTAACAGCGAAGGACAGCCTGTCAGCAACCAGAGGGAGAGCGGTGCCCAACAAAATGGGAGCAGCCGAGCTCTGCCTCCTCTGAAAGAACGAGGAAGCCCGTTACTGGCCGCCGCAGGGGTGGAGGGGATCTTCCCAAGTGGCAGTGCTGTTGGGGCCCGACCCCACGCCAGGCTCGCCTCTGTTGAGCTCTAAGCAAACCCTGCCATCCCTGCGAGCTGCTCTGGAGGAAGCATTCTCCCATGACAGGTCTAGTGACCGAGAGCTCTTCGTATGAATGAGTTTACTGTAGATTTGGGAGTATTTTAAGGCTTTGAGTTCCCAAAAATAAAAATAAACGTTGAAGGCTTTGAGTCAAGGTATTTTGTCAGGTGCCTTGGCAGAGTCCACATGTCAAATGGGCCATGTATAGTCTGTTCTAAATTCTACATTTGTAGGGGCGCCTGGGTGGGCCCATTAGTTAAATGTCCGACTTTGGCTCAGATCATGATCTCACAGTTCATGAGTTCGAGCCCCACGTCGGGCTCTGTGCTGACAGCTCAGAGCCTGCAGACTGCTTTGGATTCTGTCTCCCCTTCTTTCTCTGCCCCTCCCCTGCTCATACTCTATCTCTCTCTCTCTCAAAAATAAACATTAAAAAAATTTTTTAATTCTACACTTGTAGACCTGTGACCAGATTTATAGATCTGTACCTGGAAACAGTCCCTGCATTTAAAATAATATCTACATACAAAGCAATCCAGTGTTATAACTCATAGAGTCACAAATATTAATGACCTTCTCTTATATAAACCATGATCCCAGCCAGAACCACCAAGATCAGAATATTTACACACCATCAATAGTAACTTATAAACACACACACACACACACACACACACACACACACACACACGCGTGCGCGCGCACTGCTTAAAGAACAGTGCTTAGGGAAATTCTCCATTTATTGAGTGTCACTGAAATTGTGCAATATCTTTGCTGTTTACTTTTGTTTGGGATAGCCATCATGGTGGGTATGGCTGTACATTGGAGGAGCAGAAAAGATATGCTTGTGGCAATCAGAAAGTTTGAAGGTTTTTCAAGTTACAGAAAAATGGACCTGAATGCATCTGAGAGATACAAACCAAAACCACAAGATATCACTTCACATCCATCAGGATGACTACTATCAAAAACAAAACAAAACAAAAAATAAAACAGGTGTTGGTGAGGATGTGGAGAAACTATAACCCCTGTGTACTCTTGATGGGAATGTATGATGCAATTACAATGGAAAACTGTATGAAGGTTCCTCAAAAAATTAAAAAACGAACTACCATGTGATCAGTAACCTACTTCGGGTATAAATTCAAAATAACTGAAAGCACACCTATGTTCGTAGCAGTGCTATTCACAACAGCCAAGAGGAGGAAGCAACTCAAGTGCCCGCTGATGTATGAATGGATAAACAAAATGTGGTACAGACACGTAACAGAATATCCTTCGGCTTTAAAAAGGAAGGAAATACTGTCACATGCTACAACATGGGTGAACCTTGAGGACATTATGTTACGTGAAATAAGCCAGCCACAAAAAGAAAAATACAGTATGATTCTACTTATATGAGGTATCTTTAAGCAGCGAAAGTCATAGAAACAGAAGTAGAATGATGGTTATTAGGAGCTGGGGGGAGGGAATGTGGGTAGGATTGTTCAACGGACAGAGTTTCAGATTTGCAAGATGAAAAAGTTCTGGACATCTGTTTCAGCACAACATAAATATATTTAACACTACTGAACTGTATACTTAAAAATAGGTAAGAAGGTAAATTTATGTCATGTGCTTTTTAAATCACAATTTTAAAAAAAGGCCCCGGAAACACTGAAGTGTGCGCGGCTGGCGCTGCGTGTGATGTCAAACCGGTTGCAAAAAGTGCACGGCAGCCATTTCTGGAGATACCAGCTACACAGAGAAGTTTCCAGACACAGAGCTTATCCTGCTTATGTGTGAGTTTCACAGAAGATTCTGAGCATTTTGCTAGTTAGCTATCAAGGATTTGTTAGATTCCTCTCAACGGTACCTTCAATTAAGAGATGCGCACATAGTTTTCCAACTTGCGGGGGTAACGGTGGGTGGCCCTCCTTCCTTCCGAAGGAACGTGGGGAAACTAGGTGCTGAGCGCCCAGGACTGAGGCTGAGATTTTGAGGAAGAAGCTCCACTCTGGTTAGGAACAGCCTCTGTGTCCAAGTCTAACAATGGCTCGATTCTGGTTTCATGTTCTGAAAAATGTGCTCTGGGGATGGGAGGTGCCCCGCCAGGCCGCCCACTGTAGCAGCATCAACAGAAGAGTCTGTGTTTGACATGGCGGCAGCTCAGTGTCCAGGTGCCTCAGGTCTGGAGGGACACTGGGCAGAGGGCACAGCCCCAAGGGCCACTTCAACAGTGCCCCATCCAAGGGAGTTGGGGATCAGGAACAAAGGGATCGTGGCTGCAGCCTTACTTCCAGCTCGTCGATAGGACTCTCAAATTAAGTGTCAATTTTTTCCTGGAAGTAGGCGTATCAGAACAAATAAAGTTATTAAAATAATAAAATCATGCAAAGCTGAAATACACCGTCTCAGGAAGCAGCATGCTCTCCTGACACTGAAGGATTCAAGGTGAACCAATCACTTACTTGGAATGTTACAAATGAGATGGAGGCATCGAATAACAGATTGAACGAGGACCTTTAAGGTCCCTTCTAATCCTGAGAGCTGAAGCCTGTATAACGTCTGTCCTCCGCAGCCCCTGGCATTCACAGAACTGCTTGGCCTTCCTTTCAGGACACTGCCTTTCAGTATGACTCTCGCTCCCTGCCCCCTCCAATCTCCCCAAGAGAGAATGAGAGCACCTGGAGGGCTGAGGTTTGTTTTGGTCTGGTTCACCACCGTGTCCCCAGAGCCTAAAATTCACAACCTATGCTGTTCAGGATGGAGATCACATTTGTTTCTGTTCCTAAGCATTGCATGGTTTCTTCTTTTTCTTCTTCCCAAGAAATGTACTTATGTGAAAGGTATTACATCACAACACACTTCCTAGAGAAGGTATACAGATTTAAAGATGACATTACTAATTCATATGAAAACACCTAAGCATCTAAAAGTCACTCTGGGGTCGCTTGGGGGCATCTGGCTGGCTCAGTCAGTAGAGCATGCAACTCTTTTTTTAAAATAAAGTTTATTTATTTATTGGGGGGGGGGGGGAGAGAGAGAGAGAGAGAGAGAGAGAGAGAGAGAGAGAGAGAATATCCCAAGCAGGCTTTGCACTATCAGCACAGAGTCCAACACAGGGCTCAATCCCATGATACATGAGATCATGATCCGAGCCAAAATCAAGAGTTGGACACTTAACCAACTGAACCACCCAGGCACCCCTAAAGCATGCAACTCTTGATCTCCAAGTTGTGAATTCAAGCCCCACGTTGGGCATAGAGCTTACTCCAAACAATCAACCAATCAATCAACAAATAAACAAACAAACTAAAAGTCACTCAGACCAAGTTCCCAGAACAATGCCAATATTCTCTAATAATGGCATGTTTTACAAGTAGGGAGCATCTTGATTATTGACAGAGATCAAAGAAAAGCAAAATGTTACCTGGATGACCAGTGATTTGGAATCCCTTAAAGAGCCACCTGCTGTTTTAGATAATGGCTTTCCTTTTATTTTGCATTCTTTTGAAAATGTTTTCAAGGTGTCTTCAAATTCAGCAAAATCTAAATACTATAAAAAAGAACATAAGTGTATATACATTTCTCTATTTTAACATCAACAAAGTAACTGCCTTTGAAGTAACTGTACCAGCTCCGTGTTATCACCAATTCATAACGGGGCTAATCTTTGGGAGAATTTGGGATCCAGCTTACAATTTACTGGATTGGTTGACACACGTGCCAAGAGCCTAGAAAGACAGTATCACAGAACACGCTTATTTACAGAAAATAAATTTGTTTTCATGGAAAAAAAAGTGAGCTGCACAATTCATTACCATTATTAATAGAAACAAAATGATGTGTGCAGCAGCCTGAAAAAGGCAAAGGTGATCTTCAGAAGGCCTGATGGCTCTGGGTCTAGTAGGTCTCTGGGAATCTGCTACTTGAAACAGGCACTAGAAATGCCTGTCCTTAAGAACAGAAGACAAAAGATGGGCAATGTCGGCAGTGACCTTGGAGCATGGCACTAAAGCTCACTGCCTGTCTAGAGACGCCTTCCCCACCATGTACTCTACCGTCGTTCTCCACACTCCTCTGCCCTCCTTCTCAGTTTGTGGCAGTCACCTCCTGCCACCTCCTCGGGGTAGGCTACTTCCCCAGGCCCTGTCCACAACCCATTGCTGTGATGGCTTTAAGAATTTATTCATGAGATGGGGCGCCTGGATGGCTCAGTCGGTTGAGCGTCTGACTTTGGCTCAGGTCATGATCTCACGATTCATGGGTTCGAGCCCCACGTCGGGCTCTGTGCGGACAGCTCAGAGCCTGGAGCCTGCTTCGGATTCTGTGTCTCCCTCTCTCTCTGCCCCTCCCCCCGCTCATACTCGGTCTCTGTCTCACAAATAAATGTTAAAAAATTTTTTTTAATAATAAAAAATTTTTTGAAAAAATAATTTATTCACGAGCACACCAAAAAATGACTAAGCTTCATTTCCGGGAGAGATGCCTTGCTCCCCTGCCGTGGCTCGTGGTGCCTACTGGACGGTTAATCACAGAATAAAACAGCAGCTGCGGTTTCTTTAGCACCATCGACGTGCTAGCCCCGTGCTAAAAGCAGTAGAGAATATATAAAAGCACAGGGTGTGGGTCCTGTCCTTCAAAAGCTTTCATTGTAGGAAACCTAAATGTCCATTCATAGGTAACAAGTTAAGTAGATGCGGCCACTCAATTTGAAATATTCGACAGCATTAAAAAGTATGAGGCAGATCACAGGAAGGCAGTCACACTACACTACTGTGGGTGGAGAAAAGCCAAGCTTCAGAACAACATGTACGACAGCATATTCCATTTTGTAAAGCAAACTATAGACATGTACATGTATTTTGCATATTCACTGAAAAAAAGTCTGGAAAAATATACTAACCCATTAACAGTGGTCGCTGCAGGAGTGGAACAGGGTAATGAACTTTTTATATTTCCACATTGTTTGCATCTTTACCATGAGCACGTTACTATTATAATTTTCTTTAAAGAAATCTTTTCAACTGACTTTAAGATTTCAATTTAGTTATGAAAACAAAAAATACATATATAATGGAAAACAGATAACGCTAATGTAAGGATAGAAAACACATTTATTATAAGACACTATAAAATGTGTTGCATTATAAAACATGAGTTTTCAAGATCTTTTTTTCTGTGACCTGTGTGTGGTAAAACATACCTCTTTCACTAGTGCAAGTAATTCTGATTCGTGAGCCAGAACATCCCCCATATTGAACGGTTACTGTTAATTCTCACGGCAGCAAAAATCTCTACAAGGCAAAAGCAGAAGATAAAAGCTTTCACTACAATCATCTGTGAAGTCATAAAAAGGTGGCTGTGGTGGGCAGAATAATGGTCCCCCATCCTAACCCCCGGAGCCCCTGACTATGTCGAGTTGCACATGGAATTAAGGTTGCTAATCCGCTGACCTTAAAATAAGGAGAGTATCTATGATTACCTGGTGGGCCCAGTGTAAGCACCATGATCCTTATAAGGAGACAAGAGGGTCAATGTCAGAGTGATGCACTGCTGGCCCTGAAGATGGAGAAGGGACCCCACACCAAGGAGTGAGCGCAGGCAGCCTCTAGAAGCTCGAAAAGGCAAGGAACAGACTCTCCTCCGGAGCCTTCAGAAATGAACAAGCCCTGGGCCGCCCGGTGGCTCAGTCAGTCGAGCGTCCGACTTGGGCTCCGGTCACGAACTCCCAGTTTGCAAGTTCAAGCCCCACGTCGGGCTCTGTGCCGTTAGCACGGAACCCACTTTAGATCCTCTGTCTCCCTCTCGCAAAAATAAACATTAAAAAAAAAAAAAAAACGAACAGGCCCTGTGAACACCTGGATTCTAGCCCAGGGAGACCCATTTTGGGCTTCTGACCTCCAGGTCACTAATTTTATGGTAACTTATTACAGCAGCACTAGGAAATACAGAGGCTAAAGTCCGACGTAATTCCTTCTTCTATGACAACTACTTAAAATGAGTGTGAACATGGGCTACAAGGCAGTGTAAATGAGGATCAAGGCTTGCTAATGAGATTGGGGACGATTATTTTTCTAATGTGCCATAGTGTGGTATATGTAATTCAAACGATCAAGACCAGAAAGTACATTTTAGAACAAAACAAAATTTGATTAAGATTCATTCACTTAAGAAGGACATGCATTAAAATTAATCTAATATAAATAAACACAGAGTCACCAATTCCTCACACAGCCTCCAAGTAAAAAATAGTAATCGGGGGCACCTGGGTGGCTCAGTTGGTTAGGTGTCCAATTCTTTTTTTTTTTTTTTAATTTTTTTATTTTTGAGACAGAGAGAGACAGAGCATGAGTAGGGGAGAGGCAGAGAAAGAGAGAGAGACACAGAATCCGAAGCAGGCTCCAGGCTCCGAGCTGTCAGCACACAGCCTGACGCGGGGCTCGATCTCACGGACTGCAAGATCATGACCTGAGCCGAAGTCGGACGCTCAACCGACTGAGCCACCCAGGCGCCCCTAGGTGTCCAATTCTTGATTTCGGCTCAAGTCATGAGCTTGCGGTTGTGAGATCGATCGAGCCTTGCATTGGACTCCATGCTGGGTGTGAAGAAGCCTGCTCAAGATGATCCCTCTCCTTTTCTCTCCCTCTCCCTCTGCCCCCCCACTGCACATGCACACCCATTCTCTTAGAAAGAAAGAAAGAAAGAAAGAAAGAAAGAAAGAAAGAAAGAAAGAAAGAAAGAAATCCGTAATGTTTCCGGAAGACCATAATCATTTAGCCTCACAGTAATGGAGGAGGAAGTGATACATATTTTCACAAGTGTTAAGGTTCACGCGCTAGAGAATTTATTAGGTCAGTTTGTTTTTGTTTTTTGTTTTCTTTTAGTTACATGTAAGGATGCACAACGCCTACGTACATGTCCAAATGTTTAAATAAACAAAACACTGCAAACGTTTTGAAGAAGTACTTTCTATTTTTTCTGTCCCCAGGTGTGCTCAAAGCAGCCACTCCCTGAGCCGCACCCCCAGGCTCTTCACCCACACTGGGTGCCCATAACCAGGGGAATGAAAAAGCCTGTGCACTAATACTAACTACCCACTCACTGGCACCTGATCTGGGGCAATCACCGAACCTCGGAGCCTCTTTCATCTGTGAAATAAAGTGGGGAATTGACCAGATCTCTTCTAATACTAAGAACACACGATTCTGTAACATTACATCTGCCCATTACAGTGCATTTGATTTGAATTATTTGAGCGTAAGTCGGGTAGATTAAATTTAGTAACTTGCCCCGTTTTCATTCTCTGTCTCACCATCATCTTGTGGCCCCATCTTTCCCAATGTATGGGGACGCAATCTCCCGTTCCCTCTCTCCCTACTTCAGTTGCTAGCCTATTGACAAGTGATCTTTCCTCTCCTGCTTAGGACCCTCCTGGGGTTCCACCACCCTCCGGACCAAGGCCATGCTCCTTACGCCCACCTCTCAAAGGCTACACAGCTTGGCCTCCCACACTCTCCTTTGCTCTGTGAACTTGAGGTACAAGGGCCACCGAGCGGCCGCACCCACCGGACGCCCACAGCCCACGCCTGCCTTCTCTCTGCACTTCCCGCAGACACCCTCCAGGCACCCCCATCTCATTCAGGTCTCTTCTAAATGTCACCTCCTCAGAGAGCTTGCCCTGACTACCCTTTCTAAGGGGTGAGCCCCATCACTTCTAAGTCTTCCATCCTGCTTTATTTTTCTCAACAGCACTAACCACCATCTGACTTGAACACCCATCTGCTTAAGTACCGCTCGCTGTGGATTCAGGAGCTGCATCCCTCGGCGTGCCCGGGGCCCAGGCACTGCCAGGCACGCTGTAGTTGCTCAAAAACAACGAATGGAAGTAATTTCAGATATGAGGAAAAGACAGCAAGAAGGGGACAGAGCCTGGAGAAGAGGGGTGTGGGGCTCTTTTAGACAGTGTGGGCAGAGAAGGCCTCCCTGGGAACGTCTGGGTGGAGACGCGAGGACGTGAGCACTCCCGGATCCGGGGAGAGGGGTCTGCAAGCGTGGAGGCCACAGAGCGCTGAGGACCGGGGTGGGGAGAAGCGAGGCAGACACAGGAGGCCTCGAGGCGCGGGCCAGGTCAGACAGGCCTTGTGTGGGCGAGCGGCCTGAGCGTGATGGGAAGCCCCGAGAGGGCCCTGAGGAGGGACTGCCAACCCCGATTTACGTTTCCCAACAGCAGTGTCTGCTGCGTGGGGAGAGGCTGAGCGGACCGTGGGCGGAAAGGGGGTCATGGCCGAGCCCAAGCTAGTGACGAGGGAAGTCTGGACGAGCCGAGGGGAACCTCGTGAAGTGTTCGGGTTCCAGACGTGAAAGGGAGAGGTGCACAACCTGCTGATGGACTGGAGGTCGGGAGTGAGGGTAAGAAGGGAAGGAAGACACGCGGGCCTGAGCAGATGCCATCTGCTGAAGTGGGGAGGAAGGGGACAGGGGCCGTCTGACAGGTCATCAAGAGTTCTGTTCCGGCCATAGTCTCGCAGGCCCACGAGGCATCCCGGCGGGGTGTGGAGAAGGTGGGTGTGTGGGAGCCCGAGTAAAGGGGAAGGTGGGAGCTGGAGATCAGCATTTGGAAACTGTCAGCATAAAGATGGCATCTCAGGAGACAAGGGTCCTACACGGATGGGACTCCTAGGGAGGAGGCATAGCGGAGAAGAGCTCAGGCCCGTGCCTGAACCCTGGAGCACTCGGGTACCAGGGGCTCAGGGAGACAGAAGCGGCCAAAGCAGTGACTTGTTGGTGGGACACAAGCGGGAGACTGTGGCACCTGGGAGCCAGGGAAGGTGTTCCCCACGTCAACTGCCACTCTGCATGGTCGAGGAACACGTGGGGAGAAGACTCAATCCTTGGATTTGACAACACGGGTTTGACAGTGACGTGGACAAGAACAGTGAGGACAGGCACTTGAAAGGAAAGGGTTAAAGAGAGAAGTCACAAAGGAGAGAGGGAGATCTGTCACAGAAAGGAGGGAGGGAGTGGTGTCTCAAAGAGATGGGAGGTGTTTTAAGGTAAAGAAACTCATTGACGACTGGAAGAGAAGGTGGGAACCAAGCAGACTATGGAAACGTGGCAGGATTTCCAGTGCTGAGAATCTGCTTAAGACACATGGACTCGAGGGGCGCCTGGTGGCTCAGTCAGTTAAGTGTCTGACTTTAGCTCAGGTCACGATCTCGAGGTTCACGGGTTCCAGCCCCACATCAGGCTCTCTGCTGTCAGCACGGAGCCTGCTTCGGATCTTCTGTCCCCCTCTCTCTCTTCCCCTCCCCACTCACACTC